ATTAAAAAAAGAATTGTGAAATTGATGAGTTTCTAAGTTCAAAAAAGAGGTGGACGGATAGTGAAATTGAATCTATCAAATTATTATTTACTTATTTTTTTAACACGGAATACAATGAAAATAGTCATTTTGTTCATAAATTGACATAAATCAAGCGTTCACCTTAAATTAAATTCATATATAATTTTTTTTAATAAAAATAAATAAAAAAGAGAAAATAGCCCCTTATGTTGGTCTTAAATATAAAAAATATCATAAGAAATTAGGGCACATCTTAGAAAATAGTCTAAAGGATATAGTTTGTTACGTTACATTAAAAAAAATCTAAATTCCTCAAAATACAGTGTCAAAAGTGAGAAAAGGAAAAAAAAACATTTTTCAATATTATGTCACTAAGGTAACATAAACAATTATAAAAATCCGTTGTTCTATGTTATACAGCAAGAAAATACCAGCCTTTCCAAGTTTGTTCGTGGCCCAATTTTACCTATCTTATTTTGTTATACCCTTTAGCATGGCAAGTAAAAGGTTAGGGGAGTGAGACAGTTTAGTGTGTAAGCTATTGAGATAAATATTGGTACGGGGATATTACAGATATACATATTGGTACAGAGATAGATATTGTTGTAGAGATGATTGTGTACAGAGTTTGTATAAGGAAGGATTAGATTAGAAGTGATTAAAAAAGGAACATGGAGAAGGTGAGATAAGCTACGGAAAATGTAGAGTATGTACGGATGAATAGAATAGAAATTCCATAATCTTGTAAGAGAATCACACTGGGCTTCCTGAAATGTAAAGTGGTGTATATAGTTTTCTTCATTTACAACTGCTTTACATTTCAGCAAACGTTTATATATAAACATATTATTTATTTATATATAACATATATAGACACACACACACACACACTTTTCATTTAGGAATGTAGTTCAAACATAGACAAGGGAGAAACTGCATAATACTGATTACACCAATCCTGAAATTTTATTTTTACAAAAGGAGCTTTAGAAAAATACTTACAGTGCAACATATGAATTTATTTTCTAATATTTTAGAATCAGAGTGCCCATCAGATACAGGTATCTTGTATTTGGATAAAACTTACATTGAGACTAATGTTAAGATTAATAAAACATCATTTACCCAATACGAACTATCTACAGCCTTTGATAAATCAGATGATAATTCTTCACCAGGTCCTGATGGGATTTCTTTTTAACTTGTACAAATAGTATTATAAATTTAATGTTTCAATTTTATTTTCCATTTTCTAAATATCTTCAGGATGGTTTATTCCCAGATGCATGGAAGAAAAGTTTTGTAATCCCTATTTTCAATGCAGTAAAATCTGTCAATGGCAGGACCTGAATAAGACGGAAACATACTTTCACCAGAAAAAATCTCAGAACGGACTATTTTTCAATGCAAAGTATACTGGATAACCCGGAAACCTGCCAAATGGAGAAATGAAAAGGAATTTTTAGAACAACAGCATTAAAAGTTCTAGGTAAGACAGAAGACAAATATTGTTTTAAAATTACACAGACTTGTAAGTGTGGCAACATCGTACCACACAAGACACTCAGAGCTGCGCTTCTCCATTTCTCAGCTATTCTCATCCAAACGCCATATTTCCCATGCTACTAGTGTGAAAGACACTGTTTATTTGAAATAGTGTTGGTAGTCAGTGTCACAAGCCAGTGTGAAGGTCAGAGCTAAAGAAGGTGTGTCGCAAAGAGGGTTCCTTCAACAGTTCTTGTAATGCGTGATTTTCAATCGGTGGTTCTAAATGTTTATTGTTATTCAATACAATGAGTTGCAGGTGTTGAGTTAATAAAGTGTTCATGATGTCAGGAGGCAAAATGAAAAAATGAAAACTGTCAGTGAGAAAATTTAACTAATTGAAGAACACAAGCAAAGAACACTTCTGTCAAGGTTTTTATAAAGAAATTTAAAGTTGGGGAAACTCAAGTGTATGACACCTTAAAAAAAGGCAATATCAAGAATGAGACGTTCTGTTTTTTTATATATATAAATTAAATGGTTGCCACAATATTTGTAAGTATTTAGGCAAAAAGCTGAAGTCTAAATCATCAGATGAATTCATCTGTTTCTACAAATATTGAAGAAAATAAATTTTTTTTATTATGTCACTCAAGTTCCCTTCACTTGCTACAAGTTCATTAATAATAATTTACTTCACGTACTTAATATATTCGTTAATGACCATCCAACATAAAGGTTTCAATTTTGTAGATTGGAAATGAAATCTGCCTCTACCAAGAATCTTACACGACTAATCACTTCACAAATATCCTATACATTAATTCCTTAAAATCTTATTTGATTTCCAATATTATTTTTTTTTAAATTTGGTATTGATTTTTTGGAATATTTTTCAAAAATACACATGAATGTTCAAAAGTGGAACATACACATCACAGATCCATTGGCATTCTATGTTCCTAAGGAAGAACCAATAACATTTTTGCATCATGAAGGATGCATTGAACCACAAATGATTTGAGCAATGATCTTACATTTTTGCACACTAAATCTGTAAATACTGCTAACCTAATTATTAAAGGACTTCAGTTAATATGTAATGTGAGCCTCTGTGTTTTTTTAAGTTATAAATTTGTTAAAAGTGTATATTCTTTTCTAATTGAGCCTATATACATATTAACACATATTTGGCATTTTGAAATCCATAACTTACAAAACATCACAAATTTACACATTTGAGGCTCTACACGACATGTTTTATAAAACGTGAATTAGAAGTATTACACTGAAAACAAGGATTTGGACATAAATCTATCCTTATGCTTGTAAGCTAAATGGATCCAAGTGATGACTTAAAAGCTCAAGTTAATATTTCTGTTGTCAGGCACACAAAACAATTATTAATATTGCTAAAATTAACATTAAGCCATCAAAATCGAGCAAAACTGGCTATATAGGAATTAAATTCAGTGTAAGGGTATCATCAGCTGTTGTCCTTTCCACATTTTCATCAAATTCAAAAATGAAGTTATTTTTACACAAATGATATAGAGGATTGTACATACATAGTTATACAATTGAAAATAAAAAAAATATCAAATCCTCTAAGAGAATTCTACCAAACTATTAATATATTTTAGACAGAAATTTAAAATAATTATTAAAATTAGAAATACATGTTCAACACAACAATCAATACGAGAATGTGATTCACCTAAGAGTAGCATACTAACCTCATCTTGCAAAGTAGCAAAATCTTCAAGGAGGTGGGCCAATTTATCTCGCTGTCGAGCTCGGTTGTGCCCACATAACTGAATGAGATTTCCAAATGGACGTACACAATGATTAAGAAATGTGTCTACATATTCTTTGGCCTGTAAAAATTAATACAATTATTGGAATCAGATCAAAGATTCATTACCACTGAAATATGAGGAAATACAAATCCAGTAAATGACAATACCTTTACCAAGTACAATGGACACAATTTTACAGTATTTTTTCATTCTCTTTCTGAATTGTTTTGAATATTTAATTAAAAAATAACAAATTAATGAATGAAAATTATTAAACAAAAAATGTTTACTTCATTATGCCAATTTAAATAATTATATACAGTTAATATATTCTCCAATGAAAAATGTAAGGGGAATTCAGTTCCATTAGCTGGGACAAAGTTAACCAATCAAGAACTTTGTTAATAATATAATATAATGTAATATAATATAATATAATATATAATGTAATGTAATATAATATAAAATAACAATATACACAGTTCTTTATTCTGTATACTATACTGAATACTGTATTTTTTAAACAGAATTTTCATGAATATAAGCACCGCCCCATTTTTCTTATTGGCAATAAAAATAGAGGGACAGAGCAGCTAATAAGTAAATATCTCAAAATGAAGAGAAATATTTTTAAAAATTATCTTTAATTTTAACTTTCTTGTATACATACATATACATATAAGATAATATAATATAGAGAAATTTATGTAATGTATCAGAAAATCAATTAAGAGATTTTAATGAATTACTCATTTTGAGTACCTCAGATTCTGAGAGAGTGAATGAGAAAGAGGAGAGAGAGGGGGGGTGAGTACGAGAGAGAGAGGATAGTGAAGAGGGGAGAGAGGGAGAGAGAGTGCGCATGCGCGTGCGTGCGTGTGCACATTTGGGGGGTGGGGGGCGTGCATGCATGAATATGTTTGTGAAATGTGGCCAATCTGTGAACACATTACTGCCCAAACCACTCTTAGGATTTCTGCTGAAATAATTATAACTCTCAATCCATCTGACTCAACTCAAAGCCTGGCAATTTTGAAGCAAATTCTTTATATTTTGGGGGTACGTCACCTCTCCACTTCCTGAGACATTTTCAGATTCCTCAAAAATGGGTCTAAATGTTTTTCTGTAAATTTTTTGATTAAATAAAGTTAACGTACTGAATAATAACACAATACAGATGGCACTTTGATACCTTATGGTTTTTCGATATTTTTATGATTATTCAAATATTACACAAATGTATTTTTCTTTAAATATCTCTTACGTCATTAATATTTATGCACTGCATTGTGTGTAAAAGCACTTCAAACAATTTCTTATAAAATTTTTAAAAGTCTTTCTATGCAAAAGATCTAAAAAGGCACATTTTCATAAAAGCTCAAACATTTTCTCAAAAATGGCTCCAAATATTTCAATTAAAATTTGCATAGAGAATAAGGTTTTACGCTTTCTATGATACACTTAAAGTCATATTTCCATTCTACTATTATGAGACTGAAAAATTAAGAAAATATGAAAGCATACCTGATTTTTAGTAAGAATATAAATATTATAAGAAAGTAAGATTGTGTTAACAAATATGTATTGTAAATTCTATTTTCTACAACATTTTTCCGTAGTGTTAGTAAATATCGAGAAAATTATTCACAACCGAGTATGATGTTGACAGATTTTGATGCTAAAGTATCTTTGATGGCATCATTGCCATGAAAACAAATGGTGTCAATAAAATTAAATAATGTTCAATGTTCATAAAATAAAAATGTCTATAATAAAACATGTGCAATAATGCAAAGAACAAAGAAGGTTGCGTGTTCACACAAAAGATGGTTTTAATTATATCATAAGTTCAATCAAATTAGTCTTATGTTACATTACCATAACATGTTCAAGTAGTATTGAGTGACTTGGCCTTGTGAAGTAGCAGCTTGTGAAACAGGTGAGCCCAGATTTGTGAACACTAAGAATATGGGTTCAAAACCCATGTAAGGTATGAATATTTAAATTTGAGTTTGTGGTGTGCGAAGCATTCCAAGTCCCTCATTTTTTACACATAGACGCTAATCTTTCCATAGTCCCATGGTCTAACCAGCAATCCTGTGTGCAATATGTGTATGTAATTGAAGAACTATATTTGAAGAGCAAGAAGAACATGAATCAAGGTGGATTCAAGGGGCAACTTGGGCAAATAAATTTGTGTATTAATATAGGTATAGGGCTGAGTTAGACCAATGTGACATTTAAGAAGTGCTAAGGTGCTCTTCACTGGGAATGTTCGCAAAGGAGCTGTAGGTAGTGAAAGGCCCTGATAGGTCTTTCAGGCACCAACAGATAGCAACTGGAAAAAGGGTGGGGCAAAGCTAAAAAGCTGAGTTTAGTCCTGACTATGAGAAAGAAAACTATGTAACTCGAATGAGAAAGTTTGTGCTATTCTGTGCACCGTTAGTTTAAATAATACTGTAAATAGATATTTTTATTTCCAACATTGTCCTGCAATTTTCTTAGGACCTGTTGACAAAGTGACAAAAGTGCAGAGAATTAGCAGTTTTGAAACAAAAGTATTGCAACTAATAACACATCGAAGTTTTCTGAAATTTTCATTAAAAAAACTGAATGGGATTTACAAGCAAGGAGAGGTCTGCACTCAAGAAAATGTGTTACTAATATGATGAAAGTAACCATCCAATTCATTGACTGGAAATTGATAAAGTTCAGAATATTTATTCCTAAATTTCAAAGTTGCTAATTTTGTTATCAATTTTATAATGTTGTTCTAACCTATTCATCCAAAATATACATATTTTTACTAATAAAACTTTTCATAGTAAAAAGATTTTGATACAGCAAACATATTTACCTGAGGGTTGTTCAGTAATGTAGATTTAGGCATCAATGCAGGAGGAAATATAAAATTTTTGGCAGCATCTCTCAGGACATCAACAAAACTTAATGTTCCAAACACTTTGTTACTCTGTGGTAAATAAAGAAGTTGCAATATTGATCTTGATAGAATGCAGGGCCCATGACGACTGAAATCTATGAAAAAGTCCTACAACATGAAAGAGGAGAATTTTTAAGATGCAAAATAGTAATGAAAAGTCCAGAATAAAAAAGTACATAAAACAATTTACCCACCAGTGCATTATGAAAAGAAGAATAGTTGGTGATTTTACAAACAATTTTCAGTCTATTAAGAAACTCTTCAAAATATTCTAATGCTTCAGCACGAGATTTTATCTTAGTGTATCGAGGAAAAGTGGGGGGAAGAAGACGTTGATTCACCAAAGGATCAAATCCCATAATGGATGGATGATCAGCTGAAATAGTAAAGCAAATATTTTCTGATAACTTCACTTTCTCACTAAAAAAGTAACTGAGGCATCTAGAAGCATAGTAAAGCCTAAAGTAGAAAACAGCCTAAAGTAGTTCTGACAGTAACTCAATATACATGAACTCAAAATGCAAACCTTCAAGGGAATACATTTTTTAATGTTCCTTTGTATATTAAGCCAAAAAAATTAGTTATTTGCTGATTGGTGGATACATGTCCGGGCACATGGGCTAAAATCTCACAATTTAACAAAATTCAAAAATAAGTATCACTTTAAACCTGATTCTTTATATTACAAAAAGGATTTAGTTATATTATTAGTTTTTATTAGATGGGAGTGAATATTTTATCAATTCAAAATGGTTTGTTTCCATTTGTATGCATAATTTAACTCGTATACGGGTTAGAGTAGGAATTCCAGTATTTAAGAAAACATGCACACAATACAATTCTTTCCATGGTACATCACATACAATTTTTAACTGTTATTGACATTAAATAATTTTTAAAAAATTAAAATCAATTCATCATCTCTCATTTACCACACAATAAGTTAATTAACAACAAAGCTGTAACATAATTTAAATTATATAAAAGGTTTATTTCTTACTTACACTTGTACTTATCATGGATGTGATAGGCTCTACAATACTGATCTTCTAATTATATCTATTGAAATTTCTTAAAAAGTAATGAATGACCATAGTTTCTTCTTTGAGCAACAGACACAAACTAACATATACTTTCACTGTGCCTATGACAAGTAAGTAGGGCAGCAAACAAAATACGGACTTTAAACATACCTTAAATAGAACTAAGATATACAATAATATAAAATATTTATTGACACTCAAGAGCTACAATTTTCTTGTAATCAAATATTTCTTTGTGAATTTCCTCTCTTAAAATATTTTTGCAATTGCCTACAAGAATTATAATAAATTTATCATCTTGTTCATTCATAATAAAAGCCAAATTTATAATGCCACTTTTAAGCAAATTCATTATATGATCTACAAAAATTAGCTTACTAATTTATGCAAAGTGGTCTGATAACATCTTTACGAATTACATCACACAGCAGTAACAGTTTTGGAGAAATGCGTCATAAGATTAAGTTAATACACATGACAGAGTGCTTACTTACATTCAGTTGTTGGTTGAACACCACGATTAACAGTTTTTTGCATGTTTTGCAGTAAATCTGTGCAACTAGATAAGAGTCGTTGACAGTCTCCAAGGCCAAGAGGCTCACGACGACCAAGACTACTTAACGCTTGATATAAAAGTCTCATGAACTTGATTCGAGAATAAAGAGCTATTGTGTCCTCATGCTGAAACAGTGAAAATGTTAAGCAATCTTATAGCCTCTTTTATTAATTTTAGTACTGTAAGAAATCTTCTGAAATGCGACATTGCTGGGAAAGGTAAAAATCTGCAAATACTGTACAATATAATGATATTTTTCAGTATATAGTTTTACAATTCATCTGTGTAAGTATTAAACAGATCAAATGATATACTTCAAATTAGAAATACAAACTTTCTCAATAATCAGGTAATTATAATACATTGAATAAATGTCACACTATTAGAAAAGTTTCACTTGAAAATAGGGGCAAAATGATGTTTAGTGTAATGCTTTAATGATTTCAATGAAATATTTTTAGCTTTGTTTACTACACAACCATTACGAGGTTGCACAACACACCAGTAATGGTTTCTAATTCCAAAATATCAGGATCACATTTCTTCTACATGAACATAATGTAATTTACCTATATTCAAAAATATACTGCAACTTCTCATGGCTACTTTGTAATTTCTGCCCATCAAGGAATAATTTTAAAAAAAAATGTATTTATCAAGAATAAATTGTTAACTAACCTCGCTAACTAAGTCTGGGTCTGTTGATTTATTGCGAATGCGCCGATGAAGATCTTCTTCCACTTCCTTCAACATACCTACAGTGCGCTGCTCTGAGACATCTGGCACCAACCGGTAACCATACACCATCAACTGAAAATCCTCCTCTTCGAACACTAATGCCCTGTAATCATAATTATTAAATACTTTGAAGTATTTAATAACAAATTCCTTTTACCAGAAAAGAAAGTAAGTACAATAAGCTAATAAGGAAGAAATTTCTTGGAACTGTTAGAGAATACATATTCAAGATATGAATTTAATAATTTATTTCAGTAAACTAACATTTTTCACTCCACTTTCGCAATAATGGTCAATACTCCCTAGTTACATTACATCATTAACCTCATTTTAAGCATTAAAAAAAAGTAACAAGTGATCACAAATTTAAAACTTGCAGTCGGGGCGACCAATTCTTTGAACAAATTTAAAAGTATTTTAAGTAATAAAACCTTCAGATGAAATAGAGAACACTGTCTAACATAAAGAAGTCATTTAAACCAAAACTTTGCACTACTTAGGGAAAGGGGGGGGGGGGGCATAATTAGTTATTACTCATTACCCCTGCACACCACAAGTGTCTGTTCAGAACCACATAACTACGCTTTATACCCTCCTCCATGGATTTTCCTGTCACCTGAGTGTGAGTAGTGTGGAATCAAATTCAGCTGCAGTCTGGAGGAGAATTCTAGTGGCTGGTGGCTCTGATCGGTAGTTTTCTATGGTTTCTCTGATCAATGCCAGACAAATTCTCAGGCAGTATCCTAACAAACAGGCCATGGACTGTTCACTATCCTTTCTCTTCCTTTTCAGGACCTCTACCCTTGCTCACATCCACTTACACTTATGTGCTCTACCCTACCACGCATGCTGGGAGACAAGTCGTGAGCTTAACACTTGTCTATTCAAGGGCAGTGCCCCACTGTGGGAAATACCTGGAGGTGATATCCCTTGTAAGCTGATGTGTAGGTAAAAAACAATGCCAATCTCTTTATCCAACAAGGGAAAAATACTGCAACCTCCCTCAATATAACATTTACTACCATAATGGGACTAACTAAGACAGCAGATACATGCCCAGAAACATCAAAAATTCAATCAATTGAGCAGTGCAATGTGCTGTTTTAAGGTGGTTAGAGTGAGATAAGTGTTATGTGTAATATGCCTTTTTTATTGTATTAATCGAAAGATGGGAGGTTCTTTTATGTTTTGTTAAAGTTTGAATCGATTTTACCGTCTAGTTTTCGCGTAAGGAGACTAAGTTTGCTGTTTTAACATGGGCTCTTATGGTGACCTGACAGATCTGACCTGAAATTTTAAAATTGTGAGAAAATTAACTGTTAAACATGTTTTTAAAAACTCTTCTTTTGGTAGCTAGCATCTTGAAGAATCAACATGAGCAATTTGAAGATAATCAACCGTTTTAAATAGGAGAATTTTACAAAATTATAAGCCTAAATCTGTCCAAAGGGAGACGTTCGCGCGCTTTCTAGAGGATCGGGACTGTGATGCACATCTCGGCAACATCGCGCGCGCAACGCGCTTCATTCAAATCGAGTGACAGTTCGTACATTTCTCTAGATCTTCTGGGAGCAATTAAAATACCCTCACTCCTGGAGAACATTGCGTTTGATGGTAACCAGATATTAAGAAAGGCTGGAAAGTTGATGGATATGATGGTTAATCCGATTTGAATGAAAATCTTAATTCAATAAATATTCCCAATGACTCACTTTGATACTACTCCCTACTAGAAAATGGGTGATCTTTAAAATTTATAGAATTTTTTAAACATTCAGTGCAGTATTATTTTATATTGTGCTGTATGTCAGTTTTTTGCTCCTGAACAATGATTATTTATTCTATTATTCATAATATCTTTTTTATTATGGAGATACACAGTGGATTGTTAGTTTTTTGCACCGCAGTTGCTTATACAGGACTCAAAGTAGCAAACTTTAGCATAGATCAGCACCTCAATCTGTAGATCTTCTGAGTGGGCATTCAATTTAGAACGAAATATACTTCTTAATGACTGTAAATGAGTTGTAATGATAAAATGTTGCTTTGCTGGTGTTAATATCAACCATGCATAGGTGCATGCAGAGCTGGATTCCCTCCTAGCAAAATTAGGCTAGGGACTCCCATCCCCGTGCCCAGATTTTTTAAAATAAATATTAGAAACTTCATAATTTACTTATCTGAATAATCATTTATCAAATAGTTAACTGAACAATGTTTGACTTTAAAAATAAATTGAATGGAACAATAAGAAACCAAACATATATTTGTAAATGAGAACTTTAAAAAGCAATGTCTTCTTTCTATGCACTTTGTTAATTTACATCTGTTTTGGAACAATGATTTATTCTATCATAATTAGTGTTTATTAGATTACAGATAATTAGTTTTTTAGTTGTACAGATTTTTCTGAAGGAGTGCCCAGTTTAGGTTTTTGCTTTAAGGCCTCCACCCATGGGCAAATTTAATAATTACATTTTATTGATCTTGTAAGAGAAATGATATATTTAGCCATTCGTAGTTTCAGGATTTTAATGGAAACCCCATTTTCTCTTCAGCACTGTATTATATCTAATTGTTTTTATTTCCTGAAGAGTAGTAATGCATTGAATGGTTTTCGTGTCTTATTTTCAAAACTTTTAAACCTCCTTTCATTTTGAGTGAAACATTAAGACAAACGATTACAAAAGACTATGCCACTTGCAAATCTCTTTTGACAATTTTATCTCCAACAATGTTATAATTTTATTATTGAAGGTCTCAATAATACAGCTCTCAGAATTATATGCTGCAGTAATTTCATTTTATCAGCTTTAGTTTGATATGTTATTTACATAATAATCTGCATATAAATCAAAATCATAACATGATATAAAATTACACTGAAAACCAGCAAATAGTTTCTATGACTTATACAATCGCAACACACAACGACGCAATCGCAACGCACAACGAAATAATATGGCACATTGCAATTGTAAACATAGTTGTACAATTTCAATCAAAACTTTTGAAAAATAGATCATGCAGTTTAATAAACTGAGCAAAAATAAATAGGGGAATAACAGGGAAAAAAACATTGTGATGAGAAGGATAATAAGGAGTAGATGGAGTCAATGATTACGATTTCTGTCAAGTTAAATATAAAGCTTTATACAATGTTGGAGAGAACCAAACTGTTGATCTTGTTGTTAAGCAATTGAATAATCTGTTTTACCCTACTCAGGTAATTCAAGAAATAAAAATTAGAGAGAAACACACATTGAAAAAATATTTGAAAACTTTTTATTACGTCTCTGATCTCGTATTATTGGGGGAATTATTTCATTTTCTCTCAAATAAACCCTCTGCTAATTCGGTCAGATTGTGATATTTACTGTGTGTCGACCAGGCAATGAACAGTATTCAAAGTGATTCAAAACAACAAAACTTTGAAGAAGCATGAGCCCTGAGCAGTCATGCCAATCTCAAGGACATTACAGCATTGCCCAATTTACTAAAGACTTTTCCCTCCACTCAAACATGGAAATTTTTGTCATTATTAGCGATCACTGTACAAAAACATATAAATACGTGTCTATAATGTTACATTTTATGATTTTGCTCGTACTAATTGTGTAATAGTGCTTTTTTATGTTAAATTTTATGCTTCAATTTTTTATTCCGTGGCCATGCGCTCTGTTGGTACTAGTTAAGAAACTAGTCAATGGTAGCTCTTTATGTGCTAATAAAATATTTTTATTTCACATCTATGGAACAAAATTAATTTGCATAATTATATAAAACTCAGCATAAAAGTCCCTACTTTGTTTATGTAGGACTCGCAATACCAACTTATACTGCAAATAAATATTTTTGAACGTAATATGGACTCTCTATCTACTAGTGAATATCTCACTCTAACCACCTTAAACAACTTCCCTAAGTTATACAGTGTTTTCTACTTCAGCTCTTCAAGTTCATACAACCTATTCCATTCACCATAAACACCAAATCCAATTATCATCCTTAAATGAATACATGACACATTCAGTACTGTTATTACTAAAAGAAACATACCTGTTCACAAATTCCTTGATGATATCAACAATTTTAAATATGCATATACTAAAAGCTTTAATAGCCCTTTCCTCAATTAGGTGTGGTTTATGCAAATATAAATTTGTAAACACAGTTTGGGCTAATGAATGGCCTTCAAGCCATGAAACAAGACATGCCAATGTTGAATCTATAATGCCTATTTGCTCCGGCAATGTGATGTCTTGTAACTTCAGAGCTCCTGTCTGTAAAAGTAATTATAAGCAATACTAATTTATAATGAAATTTCCTCCTGAATCATTAGCATTGCAGTACACGGCGTGATAGTAGGAAAAATTATCAACAAGAAAATCTTACCTGCACTGCTTGATCAAATGTTAAAGCACTTTTACTTCCACGGTTACACAACATTCCTGCATCCATCTTCGGATCCATCATCTCAATTGCTGACATAGCTTCAAATAAGCCGAATAAATCATCATGTAGGAGTTCTCCCAACTCTAAACCTATTTATAACAGCATACAGTAAAGAAAAATATATTTATTAGGCACTAGTTCTTTCAGAATTAGTTTATATAATTGAGTCACTATATATCTACCTTTCACAGCTTCAAAAAATTCAGTGGTGACATCTACCCAATTATACTGAACATCAGGAGGAGGTTGATTTTGCAATGTATCAGTACTATCATATCTGAGTGACAGAAAAAAAATAAAACACACCTTGCAATGATTGAAAACATAAACTCAAAAGTATTTAGTAACATTCTACAGGTTAAGATAACAAAAAATATATAGATCTGTGTGAAATTAGGTTATGTATGGCATCACACTTTCATACAAACAAATGTATAATCACAAAAAAATTACATTTAATCAGCACATGACAATGTTAAATACACAGAAACAATGTTATGACATCAATTCACTTACGAATCTTTTTTTGGGTCGTCAAGATTATCTCCGAAGCCATCATCTAACACATCAACAGCTGCCATGTTGGTACACTGGTATCGGACAGACAGCGGGCAGATGATTAGTCGATAATTCAGATCGATTAAAGATTTCTCTTAGAAAAGTATCGACTTTTAAAAACAAGGAACAGATAGTTTTGAAAAATGAAGACTGACTTATTATGTAGTCTGAGGATCGCTGAGGAGGAAGGAGATTCAAATGAGGTAGTAGGGGTATACACAGGACACATCACCAGCAATTGGCAATTGAAAGTACACCTCAGAATTTAACGACATCACTCAGTTTATTATACGTGTACTCTTTATGCCTCTGTCCACCAAGCTTCTTTTAAATTTGAGCAAGCGCTAAGCATGAATTTGGTAAATGAACCGCTGCATGCAAGTTCATCTTAAACCATTATTATAGAATTCGTTATTCTTTAGTATTTATTCCAGTGTCACGGTTGTGTTGCGTTTAATATTGCGTAGTGAATTTAAAATATATTTTTGCATCATCGGTCGAGGATCCCGTGAATATTGGATCAATTCAGTTTATCAAATAGCTCAAACTTGATATACATTTTAACCAGTTCTCTGCCATAAATTTAGTTCTGAAGACGTCTAGCATGACGAAACACCAACGAAAGAACTTTGATAAAATAAATTGAAATATTTATATTAGCATTTCACAATTACTATTAATACTGCATCTATAAAGATTGTAAATGCAGACGAAATAACGGCCCAACACTGGACTAACTCCAATCACAATGAAAAATATTTTGAAAGCTGAGATTAGTAAGTGATCAGTACACCATGGCAGACTACTAAATTTATAATTTAAAAAAAGTACGGTATTCGCAAAGATAAACTTTCACTTTTTAATTACCCACCGCTGGTATGTAATTACACAATGAGAATCTCAAACGAAAATTTGAATTTTAAATTTAGTCTAAGTCACCAAACATTAAACTTATTATCGTATTATGAACACAATACCTCAACAGGTTTTGAATGATTCAAAAATGCAGAAATCGCAAACACCGATATATCTTCAACAATGTATGCATGCAACAACCGAATTCTTTCATTTCTAAGCATCATGACGTATCTCAAGGTTTTCTCCCCTACTTTAAAAAATACAAATCATTGTTATGAAAAGTCATTCAGCAGGCTAAAAACATGATCAGTATACTTTGAACTCAAATAATGAAACAAAAGCAATGAGGAATATAGTAGAATCAACTAGAAACCGTGTAGAGCTACCGTGTAGTATATATACTCTCTGGTGTAGAGAATGTTGTTTTAAAAGATGATAGAAATATGAACGATCCGGCAACAGTAGCTAGACTCTTTGACCAATACTTTTCGAGAATTGCTGCTGATCTCACTAGGGGTCTTCAGCCACAAAATTCATCATCAGACGTTTTCCCTAAAATTTTAGGCACGATGTTCGTTTCCGAAACTTCTTCCCACGAAATTCTCAAAATAATCGGTAGACCAAACAATAAATATTAGACCGGTTTAGATGAATTTCCGCATTGTTTGTTAAAGACCTGCGCGCCCGCCAGTATACACCCGATATTTAATGTGTCCTTATACACAGGAATTTTCCAGATATTTTTAAAACAGCAAAGATTAAGCCACTTTCCAAAAAAAGCAACAAAAATTAAATTCAAAATTATCGGACAATTTCTCTTTTGTAGTTTTTTAAAAAAATATTGGAGACACTTTTTTACGTACGAATGGAAACATTTCTTAGTAAACACGACACGTTTTCCGATTGTCGACATGGGTTTAAAAAAACAAAATCTACGGAAACAGTCATATATTATTTTCTTAAAGATGTCGACTCATCCATGGATTAAACCAAGCACCTATTGGAACATTTTTAGATCTTTCAAAAGCTTTTGACGTCACTGATCATAACATTTTACTTTCAAAATTACATTCATATGGTATTGTTCTAGATTGGTTATGTTCGTACCTTAAACAACAACGTTAAAGAGTAGAAATACCTAACTGAAATAGTGGAACATTATTTCACACCTTTCTGATTCTTTACCAATTGCAAGTGGAATTCCACAGGGATCGATTTTAGGCCCTATTATGTTTCTATTATACGTAAACGATATGCCCTCGAAGATTAGAAAAGGAAGAACAGTTCCCTTTGCAGATGATACGAATATTCCTTACATTAAAGAAACAGTAAATAACACAATATCAATATTTCAATTTGGTTCCGTAATATCAAATTAATAGTAAATGAGAAGAAAAGTGTTTCAATTCAATTTTCCATTTCAAATAAACAGCTCTGCACTCACTGAAAATGAACGGTGTGCTATTGACTGATGTTAAAGTAACAACTGTGGCGTCGTTAACATGAGGGCCAGAACCGTTAGGTCGGTGAAAGTACGCTGCGGGGGAGGAAGGGGTTGAGCCTGAACTTCCGGGAGTTTGCGCTCTGGCGGTTGACTCAGGTAGAGCCGCAGAGCCAAAAATACCGTAGGCTGTAAACTCCGAGGATTCTAGCCAGCGAGCCTCGCTTGCGGAAGCAGGCGAGCCAACCTGAGAATCCTGTGTGTGGGCGTAAACCAAGCTGCTGGCCAGCGAGCCTATCTATGGAACAGTGGTGGGGGGTGTCAGCCTCAACTATTTAACGCGGCGCCATCTGCGCCCGCGCTCTCATTCAGTTTGCATCGGGAAGCTTGTACGTGTATGTACAAGGGGTGTAGGAGTGTGGGCGAGATGTCCGGAGAGTAAGGGCCAGACGATCTCGCGTGCTGTAGGCACACGGTCGCCACGACCGGGTTAAATTTTGGCGTCAGGCCATGTGACGGTAATTGTCACGGGACGGAGGTCCGACAGCTCGCATCACGCGTGGCTTGTATTTTCTGCGGTAAAGCAGTGTACTGAAAGGAAAAGGTTGCCGGAGTGTTTTAATATTAGCAATTTATTGTAACTTGCACATAATCTTTGAATATATTATTTTTATTTTGTTATTGAAATTTATTTCTTATTTCACTACGTCACACAACATTTTTAGGTCTTTCAAATCAGTCAAACCTTCAGATGTTTCTAGCGAGATATTCCCCAGTAGACAGAGTCCATATTACATTCAAAAATATTTATTTGCGAGATAAGTGTGTTTTGTGAGACCTACATACACAAAATAGGGACTCTTGTGATGAGTTTTATTTAATTATACGAATGTATTTAATTTCATAGATGGAAAATAAAAATATTTCAATTCTACATAAAGACCTACTGTTGACTAGTTTCTTAACTAATACCAACAGATCGCATGTCCGAGAAATGAAAATTGAGAGATAAGATTGAATATAGAAAAGTGTCATTACTCAATTAGCAAGAGAAGAATTATAAAAAGTAAGATTATAGACATTTATCTATATTTATTTACAATAATCGCTAATAATGGCCAGAATTTCCTCATCTGAGTAGAGCGAAAAGTCTTTGGTAAATTGGGCAATGGCTTCTCGAGATTGGCATACCTTCTCAGTGTTCATGCTTCTTCAAAGTTTCGTTGTTTTGAATCACTGAATACTGTTCGTTGCCTGGTCGACAAGCGGAAAATATCACTGTCTGGGCGAATTGACGGAATATTTGTTTCCAGAGTGAAATATGAGAAAAGACTAACTAAAAAAACTAATCCCTTCCAATGTCACATCGAACAGTGACATAATTAAAAGTTTTCAAATATTTCTCAATGCTTGTTTCTAATTTTCATTTTCTTAATTATCTGAGCCAATGGTAGGATAAACCCTAGATTATTCAATTGCTTAACAATAAGATCAGTAGTTTAGTTCTCTCCAACAATGTATTAAGCTTCATATTGTAAGTTGAATTGAATTGAATTTGCCTTATTTTACGTGGCGAGACTCAGGCCATCAGGCCCGCTCTTCCGTCTGACCACGCAAATTTCGCTACGCCCCTTTCACCAACTAGGAGAGAAAGGAGGTATTTCTTGGGCGAGAAACAGGCGATTTGAATTTAGCTCAGAGGCGTCATTTAGGCTTGAGGATATTTTACATGCAAGTAAATCTACGAACATGGGACAGCCGGCTTTACTTCCCCGTACGAAGGATTTTTTCGCCCTTAAAAATCCACGGCTTCGATCGGGTTTGAACCTGCCAACTTGGGTACAACAGTCCAGTACGCTAACCGTTACACCATCGCCGCCGCAAAGTAAGTTGTCAGAAGTTAATAGTTATTATTTCATACGGTGGAATTATGAAATTCATGGAAGCTATTTGCTGGTTGCAATGTTTTCAGCATAATTTTATATTGATTTAATTGCAGATTAGTGAGTAAAAAACATACCAAACTAAAGTTGATAAAATGAAATTACAGCGTCATATAATTTTGAGAGCTGCATTGCCATTATTTAGACTCTCAATAATACAATTATAATATTGTTGGAGATAAAATTTTCAAAAGAGATTTCCAAGTCCCATGGCTTCTTGTAATTGTTTCCCTTGATGTTATACTCAAAATGAAAAGAGGTTTTGGAAATAAGACACGAGAGTTATCCAAAATACATTACTACTTTTCAGTCAGTGCAAACAAGTAGACAAAATACAGTGGTGTAAAGGAAAGGGGTTTCTATTAAAATACTAGTACTACCAAAGACTGATTTTATCATTCCTCTTACAATTTCAAATTCATTTGGCTCATGGCTGGATTTCGATTCTAGGTTATTTCGATACTAGATCGTTTGGCTATTTATGGGAATAAGTTGTTAGTTACGTTTTAATAAGAATAAGTTGTTACTCACATTCACTTGAAAATATGGTATTTGTACGCATATTAATGTAAATGTGAGGAGTCGGACGTATAATTGTGCTTCTGTAGCATTACTCGCAGTTTGGTTTTCTTAGATTTTACCTGAAGTTCAAGTTCAAAAAGTTCCAAGGCAATACTGTTCATAGGTTTTATTAAAGGTATTTTTAAATGAAACGTTAAGGCGAATGAAATGAAATCTGCCGCGTGGCGATTCACTTGGGTGACTGTTTAATTCTCGGCATACTAATTAAGGTATAGTGTAACGTATTAGCCAGCGTGCCTCGTGGCATCTATTTGGGGACGCTTGGTAGAGGATTAGCCTCGCCACAGGAAGGAGAGAAGGGTTTTCCCGTAAAGGCAAGAACGCAGAAAC